TGAAGGGGCTATCCTGTATAAATATAGATGTCTACTACAACAGAGAGAGCTTGAACGAGGTCGGATTGAGCCGCAGAAAGTTCGATCCTTAGACTACCAGTCATGCCTTTGACCGTCACTACAAGTTTATTACACAAACGCAGTTTTACTCATCTAGTTTAGTAGAGTGTTGATTCATCCTTCTACCTGTATTTGTTTAGGGAAAACCCGTTTGTGATTTATTTATTGTTTTAGATTCTTTACGTTGTAATTGACCAATTTTGTTTATCGTAACTTAGCGGATCATGTGAAGCAGAATCTAAAAGATCTTACCGCACAGGTAAGAACTTTCAAATGAGCAAAATTGTTCCCATGTTTGTCGCTGATGTTGCTGTGATTGTGTAGTTTGTAAGTAGAGGAAAGGAGATGGTCGATCATTATGGGTAGAGTTTTCCTTGACAAGTTACCCCTCGTCGAAAGAAGTGAAAAAAAAAAATCATCCTTTAGACAAGGAGACTTCTATGGGAAAAAAATTTTCAAGGACGAACTTTTCTCGTGCAGATGATCTGGCAGGTGCTTTTATGAAGGCAAATATAAAGCCCTCATAAAGTGGGATTTTGCTCCGGGAAGTCGTCCTTGATTGGTAAACTTGGAAAATGTCTGGCTGATGTATGTAGCAAACAACATTTCCTTCATGAGCCTTTTTTTTTTTTATAATTGTAGCGATTGTTTCAATTAACAGTACAGTGCTTGAATTGTTTTCTCTATTTTATACTTCTCCCATCTTAACAGGCTTGTCCGGAAGATGTCACCTCGCTTGGAGGTTTACGTGCTGCTATCGGCGTAGGACTGGTACCCAATCTTACGTCAAACCAGCGGCAGAAGTCCGAAGGAATCACTGCGAGCGATAAGAGCGGTCCTGAAACTCTCGCCGGTGAGAGGTTTTGCATTTTTTGATATCGGGTTCGTGCTTAATTGCACACCTTTACCTTCGTTTCTTTTTTCTCTGTCTTTTTCCTGTTATTTGTAATAATTTCTTCCTTCAGGTTATTTTCCTTTAAATGATTCACACTGTCAACACATCAGGCAAATTCTGCTGGCCGCTGTCACTTCCTCGTTTATCTGTGTTGTAATCTCATTGTTGAGATGCACACGTTATCTTTTTTAGATTCTTCTGAGCAAGCCGTGGACACTACGGATTCTGCATTGAAGACATCTTTGGAACAGACTTGAGGCAATCCTACACCTGCATATACTTTTACTCTTAGGCCCTATTTATTAACCATTTAAAACCAAAAAACGCCGATCCCTACAGTATATTTTAAAAATGTTTAACATTATAAAGTGCCAGTTTTTAATATTGGTCGAAGATTTCTCAGTCTTGCCACGAGTCGATAAACTGTTTACAAATAGCAAGAGCGGTTCTAGTTCTTGACATACTCCCCCC